ATCCCTGGAGAGAAAGTCACAGGTTGTGCCTGAAAGTCAGGATTTCCCCCCACCCCTGCATGCTTTATGTTGAATTTTATATAGCTGTCCACGTCAACCCCATGAATTTTGAGGCCCTCACATTCCCATCAACCCCTTTATGTGATAATCAATATCCCCTATTTTCCCCTCAACCACTGGCCTATTACATTGCCATGCCCACATCTTGCCATTGAAACCAAGGCAGTGCTGACTTGCAAAACTGTGCCTTTCATAGAATCCCTACATCACAGATTGTACCATTTGGCCCATCGAATCTGTACTGACCCTCTGAAGAGCATCCCACTCAGACCCAACCTCTCCCCCTAACTCCATATGGCTTTTACCATGGCTAACCCACCTAACCTGCACACTTCAGGGCAATTTAGCCAATCTAACTAACTTGCATATTTTTGGACTGTGGGAGGAAACTGAAGCATCCAGCAGAAACCCCATGCAGACATGGGAGAACATGCAAACTTCTTGCAGTCACCAAAGGCTGGAATTGAACCCTGGTCTCTGGCACTGTGAGGCAGCAGTGCTAACCACTTTGCCACCCTGCCACCAGTACTCCATACCCTCCCGGGCTATATCATATCCCATCCTTATATTTGGAGTTGATCCACTTCACAGTCGTTATCCCATCTGCATACCAGCATCCAGGCTCCAATTGTTTAACTTGTTTCCTATTTTCCCCAGCAGTGCATGGACTGACCCATGATAACTCCCCCCCCGCCGCCCTTGAAATTTATTGGCCAAACACCCAGGACTAACTGTGGCCCACCCTGACTGATTTATGAGGACAACTGAACTGAGGATGGTCCAACTCCATGATTCATATCTCTATAGGTTTCCAACTGCCTACCTGTAATCCAGAGAGTGGCTGGATTGCAGGACTGATTATGGCCTTAACCCTAGACTGGAATGACATAGCACCCAACTGACCACGGTCAATCCTGTGGACTGAGATTGGATATGCAGTTGTCTGAGGGACCCTTCACTTGAATAAGGACCATTCACCTTAGACTTTCAGACATGGCTATTTGGTTGAAGGTTCTATAGTTTGTTTGCCACGTAAACTGCCGATGGTGTGGCATTGCTGTAGCATGGTGCCATATAGCAACATCTTCACCCGTTTGATGATTCAGTGCTGGCAGTCATGACAAGCTGCCTAATCTTCTGTTTGTGCTAAGAAGCAAGGGAATGCTGAGTGCTGTGAGCCTGTAAATTATGAATGAAGCAACAATATGCTAAAAGGGAAAGCAGAGATGCTGTGAGCACCCCAAATAAGCGCAAAGTAAGTGAGTGCTAAGAAAATATGCTAAGAACCTGGATATGTATCCTGTGCTAAAATAGAAGATGGGTATGTGTGCCCACACACACAGTGACCTGGCAGGGCCACTGCAATGTAAAGTGTAGGTGAGCTCCAAGCTGCAGTATTGGAAGTTGCAGAAGTATCTTCTGAGTTAGTCTGAGATTAGCAATGTAGTAAAGCTGGTAATTTGCCAATATCAACTTCTGTGGACAAAGCATGGGGCAATCACGACACCATGCAGCTTGCTAAGAAATGTTGGTGAATGAAGATGAACATGAAGGCCCAGAGAAGCAACTGTTGAACTTTATTCATCAGATAACTGGTCAGATTTTCAAGTTGAGAATTAACATCATCTAGTTTGTCAGCGGTGCCTGCAAGAATCATGAACTACATATAAATGAGGTGAGGTTGGTAAATAAAGAGGTGCAAATGCATAAAAATGAGGTTTCTGCTTACTAGTGAGAATCTCAACTAGATGCTGAAACAGTAAGGTGAAAATCAGGCTTTTTCATTCTGTACATTGAGTATCTAATTTGTTCATTTTCGTCATAGTCTCCCAAATTTCTCACCATTGCATACACCGCTCATGGGCAGGGAACTTCCGCTGTACATTTGTAACTTTTCTCAGTTCTGATGAAAGATCACAGACCTGAAATAGTGGACAGAATCTTCTGATGGCCAGTTTGAATGCAGTATGGGCATTTAATTAGGTGGGGTATTGGCATATCTGAACACCACCATCTTCTTACCTTTACCAGAGTTAAATTGTAGTGGGAAAGACCCACTGTCAAACTTCACACCCCATTGCCAATTGAGGAACTTAAAAAGAAGCCAATCAAAGACCATTTAAGAGCCTCAATACACCATTGCTGGGAATAACATAGGTGCAGGCAGGTGTTTGTTATACAATGTGCAGCCAAATTGTCACTTTCAACAGTGGAGCAGGGTGTCCTTCAAAGGGAATCAGTACCTGATCAACAGACTAAACATCAAGATGTTGGAACTTGGGGAGTGCGGCTGAGAACTGACCCCTTGTCTTTACTACTGACACCCCGCTTTCTCACCCTGCAAACCACAGCCTCCTCACATTATTTACCTGTGTTGCCATTCAATCTTGGGTTTTCTTCCTGCAGCAGCCATAGTCTCCCTGCTATACTTGCTGAGCTGAGTGCAAAACCTGCCAGCCTTTGATTGGCTTGGAGCTGTCAGTAAGGAAAGTTTTTTCCTCTGGTTCTTGATTCCAGTGAATCGCCTGTTGGTGGCCTTGCCACTGCCCGATTGGCTTGTGGTTCAGCAGGCAGGTTTTCACCAGATCTGCAGCCAACAGGCGAGAACATCACACTACGGCAATATTCTGCTATTAATTCTGTTTCTGTCTCCACAGATGCTGCTAGACTTGCTAAGTAGTCCCAGAATTTTCTGTTTTTGTTTCAGATTTTCAGTAACTGCAGTATTTTTCTTTTTTGAGTTGCAGTCTTTTTTCATGTCACGCACAGAGTGATGAATACTTGGAATGGAATTCTATGTAGAGTGATGGAAGGAAACACTTGGCGTAATTTAAAAAACAATTAGGTACAGCCAATTAGTGTTGAAAAAGCAGGTGACATGGACTATGGCAAGATGTGTGGCAGAGTTGGGTGATAAATACAGCGAGGTCTGTTTTGAAGTTGAGATCATCCTTCTCCATCTTCTATACTTTTCACAAGTGGAGAGGTTCTTGTTATGCAGTGGTGAGTTGCCAATTGACAGTCATTACTGCTTGTTAAATGTCTGGCCAATATCACAACCAGCCTCATTAATCTTCAGACCTCCATTTCAATAAATTCACCAAACAAGATAGACATTGGGAAAATGTGACAAGGAAACCAGAGTGAGCGCCTGGCAGATTCAGCTTATCGGTTGCTCCAAATAGAGTCCATGTTGGAAACCTGGCACCATGGTCTCAGGGCATGTTCCATGGGTACTGCCAAATGCACCCCAGGTTTACAGAGTTGGCATCCAACATGTACCAGCCTCATTTCCAATTCATCTCTTCCTTAGCACTTCAGTGCAGTGCTGCACCGGTAACTATCATTGTAATGCTGCAACAAGATCAGTGTCTGCACCCAGCTCGTGGGCTGGACCAGGCTGCATCTCTTCACTAGCTGTCGTTCATTTTGAGTCTACCTAATGCTCACAGCATTGATGCCTTTCATTGCTTTCCCTTGCTCTTTTTGTGCATGTTTTCTCTCAGCCAGAGATACAAAGCTTATATTACTGTTTTGCTTTGCCATTTAGTGCAGACACAAAGCCTGGAAGTTTGTCACAGTTGTCAGCAGGTCTCAGTCAAGACAATGAAGAAAGCCTTTGCTTAGGGGTTCTAGCACATTAAGTCAAGGGCAGTCCGATGCAAATCCAGGGTATGGTAGGGGTGGTCAGAAGTCAGATCCTCTCCTAATGAGGGGTGAGGAGCTGAATAATGGCAGCCTTGACTTGGCTCTTTATGCCCCACCATGGGCTGTTTTCCTCCTGAAATGAGAAAGAGGCAGAGATTAAGCAGATCAAAGTAGGTGGCAAAACTAAAAACCCAAAGAATTGTGGATGCTGTAAATCAGGAACAAAAACAAAGTTGCTGGAAAAGTTCAGCAGGTTCCAGCAACTTTGTTTTTGTTGTAGGTGGCAAAACTGTTGATTTTGGTGCAAATGTGGATGTGTCCCAAGCAAATGAGCAGGCAGTGCAGAGGACATACAGGTTTAGTGGTGTCGGGGTTTGGTCTGAGAGCAAATAGAGGAAGATGTTGCAGGCAGTTGTGAGAGTGGTAGAATATGAGCCTTGGTGGGAGATGAGTACAATGGAGAAATAGAGTGAATGTGAGATGTCAGAGAGGAGATGTTAGAGCTTAGACCAGCAGAGTGAAGAAGGACATCAATCTTCTTCCTACGCTGCTGGAAATTCCTCCAGGCAGTTGAGACTGCTTTACTTTGGGTAGCCTCCTCGGGCCAACACCACCATGGGGGTCTGGTGTTGTAGGGTCCATTGCTGGTCATGGGGGTTGAGGAAGACATTCCTGGGCACCACCCCATCCAACAGGACCTCCAGCACCCTGCTTACAAAGTAGGGCACTGAATTCCATCTGCCTGCCATGTCCAGGACAAATATCAGGAACGATGCATGGCAGCTTCAGACTGACCATGTTTGTCTGGGTGTACAATGGGCTTTTAAAGATTGTGTGGATGCAAAAGTGGCCAGCAAATTCCAGGACGTTGGCTGAGTAGCAAGTTGTTCCAGGAACAGCGTGTAGCAAGATGGGGCAGAAATCAGACGCATAAGTAATTAATGAGGCAAGTTTGGTGAGGTAGGGCAAGAAATCCTGCTCGGCCTCTTGGCGAGAAACCCTCCAAAACACTTAATGCCACTCAGACTTGGTCAAAAAAAATGTTAAGATTTAGCCTGATGTTTTTATATTGTGAACTGGAAGATTTATTCCTAATATGTTGCTGGTGTTAACTTCTATTGAGCAGTGCACTCAAAAGGGAGTCCTGAAGGTTTAAAGATTGTCAACTAAATATAAAATGTACTTATTATGGTATCCTCAAGAAAGTATTGCTGTTAATTTACTCATGCAAAGAGATTTATTAATCTACTTATTCTTTTACCAAAGTGAAGAAATCTTGGAGCTGCAAAATGAAGTGTCAAAACTCAAGCAAACGCTAGAGGAAAATCTTTCCAAGTTGTCTAATGTACGTTCATCACAGGAACAAAAATATAGGACCAGATCGTACCATAGTAAGAACTTTTCATCTACAAGGTAAAATTATTAATAATATTAGAATGCATTTATGACAATGTTTGTCTGTTTATTAAGTTTCTAGACTGAAAATCTTAATGGATAGTAACGGTTTTGTATCAACAATGTCTGCAGATGAATTCTTTGATTATGGAATTAATTCTCTTCATATTAAGTTTTTTTTATGCTTATTTTACATTTAACATATTTTCTTTCAAACAACAAATGTGAGGAGGATGTTAATTTAACTACCAATATCTTAAACAGCCTTAAAAGAAGACCCTGTAGTTGGTTAAGAGGAGATGAAGATGTTTCAGATCGAAAACTAAGTGAGTGTTTTAAATTCTTACATGTCATCTTACGCCCTTGTAGATTTGCCATAGAAGTTGTACATTTTCTAACATAAACTACTTGAACTATATGTTTTGCAAACATGTCTAATTTCATGATTCATATGTTTTAGGATTATAACTTTTAATTTGGAGATTGAAGGCTTTTAAAAGTAAGATAATGTAGTACCCGGTGGGAAGCTGGTAAACCAACCTAAAATGATTATAATCCAAAGGGTGACCTATGTTTCTGTAATAAGGTCAGAGTTAGAAGTGGGAAATGTTTAAACAACGGTGGCCCTTTTCTGATTCCTAGTGAAGACTGGCTGTCTTCAGATGTCTTCATGAGTGGTTCATGTTGGACACAGAATCAAATATATATTTTGGAAGGTGAATTTACTTAATTGAAATCTTTATCTGGCATATCTCCTGCCATAGGGTTAGGTTGCAGGGGAAGACATGCAGGGTAATGCTGGAGCTGGGACAGCTTGGAAACATGCTAAGAGAGAAAGCTGCTAGCAGCTGATGCTAGGAAGCAATTGAGACCTGCATGTAGCAAAGGGCATTTGGAGGAAAGGGTGATTTCTGATTTTGAAGTCAATGAGAAAGAAAGCACTGAGGCCCAGTGTTGAGTTTGCCCCCTGTTACCCATTGATTCCAGTTTTTCAAGGGTCTCTTGATGGTTCACTTGGTCAAATGAGGCCTTGATGTCAAGAGCTTCATTTTCACCTCTGCTTTGGAATTTGGCTCCTTTGTCCCTGTTTGAATCAAAGCTATATTGAGGTCAGGAGTGGAGTAGCCCTGGCAGAACCCAAATTGGCCGTCAGTAAGCAGTTTATTGCTGAGCAGGTGCTGCTTGATAGCATTGTTGATGACACTTTCCATCACTTTACTGATGATTGAGAGGAGACTGATGGTGCAGTAATTGACCAGGTTGGATTTGACTTGCTTTTTGTGGACAGGACATACCTGGGAAATTTTCCATATTGTCGGATAGACGCCAGTGTTGTTACAGTAATAACTCACTTTGTACTGCAAAGGACACTTTTTAAAAATTACGGCAGCATTTTTCCCCACCTTAGAGACAAGTAAAGAGAGATATAATTAGGCAAGTTGTCCCTGGACAGATACTTGTCATCTTCTCACCACCTCGTCAGTTAATTTTTGCACGAGAAGATTCACTGGGACTTTCTCAACATGCCACCAGTGAAGGCTCCTAAGTTATCAGTCAGTTGTCACATCGCCATTTGGGGGCCTCAGTCTGCAATCTCACTAATAACCTGCCTTCCCAGTAGGCAAGAAAGGTGGCTAGATTCCTGACTGAGGAACCACAGTGATCTGTTGGATTAAGGGTGTGGTATCCAAATGCCCCAATGTGGGGAAAATTGGAGGGACAATGTGGTAGCCACTGAAACCCACCCACTCCCTTGCCTTTGACCTTTCCAACTCACTTCCCCTGTGAGCCCCATCTGTGAGAAGCAAAAGAAAAACCACCTTCTTGCCTTTGGATCCCTTAAGGAGTAGGCCATGACACATGATCTTTAGGAACCGGAAGCTGCTGGCCTCTGATTAGAGCACAATCAGTCATGTTTTGTCAGAGATCGGTATCAAGTTAGTTGACATTCAACATTACTGCCCTCATGCCTTGTCTGAAAATGGGAAAATCATGCTTGTGGAGTACAAAATACTTTATGAAGCAGTTCTGTTCTAAGGAACTGGAATTGGTGGCATAAGCATATACTAGAGTTAAACATTTTAAAATATTTGCTGCATTTCAGAAGTGGTTGGGTGACGTAAGCAACATCAGCTAACTCAAAAGATTTGGTTTACCAGTTGACTTAAATTAAAACTGCCCATGTGAACTCTCAAATCAGGAAGTGATCACTGTCACATTTTTTGGGTCTACAAACATTGACTAAAGTTATCAGAAAAATTCTTTCTCAGTTGTAAAAATAAAAGATTCTGCAAGTTTGTCTTTTATCAGTTACAAATGAGGATTTCTTTTCCTTCCCAGCTTTACATTGTGGAGCCTCTATATTTTTATAAAGGAAGCAGACAAGAAATAGGGGAAAGAAGAAATAACATGGTACAAAGCTACAACAAATAAGAAGGCCTCCAATTAGGAATTATTCTTCCAACGATGTACAGATCATACCATTCCCTATAGTAAAGACCTCAAATATCTGTATCACTTCTGATTCCTCCAGAACCCTTACATATTGAAACTTTTCCAGTACAAAATCTTTTTCAGAACTATATTCTTTTTTAAGATGAATTTCTCTGAGCAGCTAAGTAGAACTAAGTAAATGATGCCTTGGGTGAGAATGTAGCTCATTGGATAGATATGGAAAACAATTTTCATTCTCTCATTCTCTTTCCTTCTGTTCTCTTCCACCTGAATGGCATCTCACTTTGTTATCTAAAGGCAAAGAAAATGAAACAGACATAAGTTATACAATCACCGTGGTAATTCCTCTTTAACTTGTATTGCTGTCTAATCATGTTTTCAGCTAGTTTTGCACTGCCAAAACATTGCATAAATGGTACAGATAAATCTGCACTTACCTTTGGCTCTCCTACATCTTCCACAACCTGTTAGGCAGCATACCTTGCTAGCAGCACCAGAATTTCTACTTCATGAGGTAACTTATTGTTTAACTCTTGGTTTGATTTTCCCAATGGAAATTTCTACCTTTTCCGATGAGGGACACACACACAAGAATTTGCAAGATATCAGGCTTGCAGTTCACAATTCAGAAATGATTCTGCTTGAGCCATCATATTCACGATTTCACCAATGTAACCTACTACTGACTGTATAGAAATAACACTATATACCTCTCAATAATGGCAACTTCAAAGTTATTTTCTATAATTCTCAATAGTTTCATTATAGATGAGTAATTTATTTTAGTAATTTGTCTTATTACAGACAACCGAATGGAAGATCTACTTTTTTCTGACACACAAAAATCTGTATATGCAAAACAAGGTTTCTTAGAAAAAACAAGAACAGCTCATCATAGACAAAGTTACTCAGAAGGTCACAAATCAAACAGGACTTGGTTAAAAGGTTCACATAAAGGTAATACTTAATTATAAACTACTAATAGTGAGCCTTCATTTGCAAATAGAAACAAAAGATAATAACACCAATTTGTAAAATATTCGATTTTAATGTTAAGGTATATTTAGTATGTAGAGAAAAAGTGTTATTTTGGTGACTATTTGTGGCGAAGCAATTAATTGAGGATCTGAGCCATTCCACTGAATAGATATTTAAGAAAACTCCACTTAGTTGATAAATGGAAAAAAAGGCATTTTGTAAATGAACTGGAGATTTATGGATTAATTAAAATATTCTGGCCAAGTATTATTCAAAAATAAGCCATCAAGAAGGCGACTATTCCAAAAACTTGTCTTACTGCTGCATGTGGGTTGTTGCTGGCATAGAATTATTGTTGCATTTGCCTACATAGTAATATTTCTATCCCTGTAATCTCCTCCAACCCCATCATCTGCAGAGCTCCATCACTGGTAGTCACGCTTTCAGCTGCCAAGGCCTTCAACTCAAGAATTCCCTCCCTAGTTATGCACAACTTTCTACCTCACTTTCCTGATTTTGATGCTCCTGAAAACCTCTTTCTTCAACCAAACTTTTGGTGATCTATTCTAAAATCTCTTTAAATGTGACAATATCAAATTTTGTCTGATAATGTTCCTGTGAAACACTTTGGAATATTTTATTTTGTTTAAAGCACTATCTAAATATAAGTTATTGTTGCTGAGCTGGGGAGGGAATTCCGGAGTTTTAGACTGGAGAGATGGTGTGGCTGGCAATGGTGGAGCAATTAAAATTTGGAATATGCAAGATACCAGATTGGAGCAAACAATCATAAGGGATGCAAGGCTGGCGGAGATTACAGAGACAGAAAAGGGTGAGAGCCTGGTAGGATTTAGAAGAGTGAGAATTTCAAACTTGAGTCATTGCTTGACTCAGAGACACTATTCATCAGTGAGCACAGGAATAATAGCTGAGTGAGACTTTTGGGATTAATACAAGGGCAGCAAAGTTCTGTAGGCATAACTGACAAAATATGGTTGATCATTTAATGTAGAAATTCAATTGTTTTATGAAATAAAAAGAATTTCATTTCAGACAACTTTCAAAAAAGTGTATTTTGTGACTGTAATTATGTGGATGAGTCAGCCTGAAGCTTAATCTAAGGAGATGGATCCTTTTTGTTTAACATATTCAAGAGAATGGTAAAGCAGGAATAGATTATTTTCTACTGAATTCTGTAATTTACCTTGACCTAGATTGCTTAACTCGTAGGTTGTATGTGCTGCATTGCCAGTAACAAAACATCTTGTTCACTTCCTGGATCTAATTATTGATTTTCTAGATAACACGCAGGTAAAAACATACTTTGGCTCATAGAGGACATTGATCTGAAGAGAGAGTTAGGATATGCTGAATCCAAGTAAAATATGTAACCTAAAAGTGCAATATAACAGGGCAATGTATCCTGCTAGGAAAACATTTTTTATTGTGTTGTGATTAATAAATTACACCTAAAAATCAATACAGAAAATATTTATGATATCAAGTTTTCTGCACATATATCGAACAAATATTATAAAAAAAAGGTGAAATTTTGTGCCATCATAGAATGTCAAAACTACAATGTAGAATATTTGTCCTTTCAACTAATAATGTCAGAGTAGAGCTTCTTATACTGTACCTCAACATTGTGCTTTAACATTAAGCTTAGAAAAACACACACCCACTGCCATCAGACATATTTATGTAGTACTTCTATTACCAAGTTGTCCAACCTCTTGGAAAATTTGAAAATATAACACCATTTGGTGTTGAATGTAAATACATAAAGTTGCCATAGTCCTAATAGAGACAACTGGTGGTGGTTTAACCTCAGACTCACTATGCCTCAGGCAAGGGAGTGGTTGAGAAGGAGTGTCCTTTATGATAACCTCATCCAGTGTGGGAATTCAATTCATACCTTTGGCATTACTGTACACCATAAACCAGCCATTCAGTCAACTGAGTGAACCTAATTGTAAATAGTTGAAAAATAGCTTAAAACTGCTCAAATTCAGTTCATTTGGAACATTTCTAGCTGGCAGACAAATGGAATTCCATCCTATCAGAACTAGATATGGACTCAGTTTTTGAAAGATGAAAACACAATGTTGCAATCTATTGAAACATTTTACAGCACATTTTCAGATGGCATGATTATTAATATTTTGTTTAACAAAGTGCATTATTCATTTTTCTTGTATCAACAGGCTTATACTCATCAACAAATGGACTGAATTTGCATAGACAGAGAATGAATAGTTGCTTTTTGTGCAGTAAGAAAACACCTCATAGTGAGTACAAGGAAAAATAATCTTTCTAATAAATGAGCACTATAGATAAGGATGTGATGAGTTGCAACTCTGTGACTATTTAGTAGCAGAAGTGACTGAATTGCTTTTTAACAAATAAAATGAATTTGAGGAGCAATCATGTCAGCTGATTCTTGAAACATTTAGTTTAATTTGTATTAATCACATTGTGAATATTTACTAATTCCTTGGATATGTACTTTCCTTTAATAAAATGTTTTACCAAATGGCCCTTCCACTCTGAGTCTGCTTGAAATATGGAGTTTTTGCCTCTACCAGGGGCAGGAATAATGACAGGTATGCAGCGAATTTTGTGCTGCTGGCCTACATATCAGCCCCTTGTCTCCATCCTGTCCCCAGGCCATTTTACTTGAGCCAGCCTTGTTAATGGAATTTCAAAATCAATTGCTAAAGGCCACCTGGATTTTCCAGTCACCTCCAAGTTCCCACAGTGGTACGAAAGAGCCAGTTTCCTGGAGGTCACCTCCTCACAGCAGACTGGTGGGCAAGCACCCCAAGTTGACTCGTCATGTCTGCCTGTGTTCAGTTACAGCTGCAAGCCACTCTGTGGAGAGGATCCCCCCTCACTGCGGTAATTGACTGCAAAGACCATCTTTATTTTAGATTTATAAGGGTTGGTGAGACAGGGTAGTCCATTTTGAGATGTCCTGTCCCTCATCCACTTGAAAGGGTATCTTGTTGTTGCTGTAAGCATTTACTCTGTATTATGAAGCTGAGGGAGGAGGGGGAGCTCAGAAAAGCAAAAAAAGTAAAATTATTTCAATCTCGTCTACTATATCAGCACCTCATATTTGTAGCTGTCTTTACATTGGTGAAACCAAATGCAAACTGAGTGACTGCTTTGCGAAACACCTCCACACTGTCCATAGGAATGACACAACTTTCCTCTTGCCTACCGTTTCAATAAATCACCTTGCTCTGATGCAAACATTTCTGTCCTGGGCCTACTACAGCATTCTATTGAAGCTCAATGCAAGCTAGAGGAAAACACCTCATTTTCTGCTTGGCACGTTACAGCCTCTGGGACTCACTATTGAATTCCACAACTTCAGAGTGTAAGAACAAGTTTCCAATAAATTTTGGTATCTTCCATTTACTCAAGACGATGATCAGATCATGGTCTTCAGTGGGAGTGCGAAGTAAGCAATAATAAATATAAAACAGCTCCTTTTACAATCCCCCATTGAAATCAATAGGGATCAAGCAGGATGTAAAACCGGTTGTAGATCTATTATCATCTTGTTTTCTATTACCATCCAAGATGACTTTCATCACACCAGTCGGACATCAACATCTGTATGGTTAGTGTTAAGTAAAAGGAAAGAGAACTATGCATTTTTTTTCAGTGTGCGATATGTGCCACCAACATAGAATAAATTAATGAAGGGGTTTTTTTGACAGTTAAAGGAGATGTGGAGGTATAATAAAACAATAACATATTTAGATGGTTTAACTATTCTAAGAAAAACTCTGATAAAAGTAATATATGTGGCCAATATTGGGAATTATGTTTAGAAAACATTCAGTCAGCTCCCTAGATCAGAAATTTTCCAGTCCACAGGAAAAAAAGCCTGACTCGATATATTCCTGGAAAAAGGAAATGGATTTATGACCCCCTGAGATGCCAGGTAGAGCCTCAATCGACTCTTATCTCAAAGATAGTACCTCCAGTAGGATTCCCTTGATGCTGTATTGAAGTATCAGCTTAGATGTACTGTAGTGGAATCATGACTGGACCATCAATTAAAAATTTTCATAGTGAGAATGAGAAAAGTGGTTGGAAGACATTTCTTTATTATTACAGCATGAATGTTTTGCCACAGAGTTGTAATTAAAGCAGAGATTGTTGCATCTTTAAAGAGGAGAGAAGACAGATATAACAGTCTGAATTAGTTTTGAATCATTCTCGTAAAGCATGGGCACATTGGGCCAAATAGTTTTTTTTTTCCTCGATCCTAAATGTTTATGGTTCTTTCACTGATTGCATTAATGTCATTTGTCTTTCTTAAATAACATACAGATTCAAAATAATTGGCTGTCATATATGTAACTGAACAATTACAGTTAATATTTAGCCAAATTTAACTTTAATCCACCCTTCTGTCTGCAATTCAAGCTGTCTTTGAAACATTTATAATGAATTCAGTTGAGTCTGTGATATTTTTTAAGCTGTAGTTGGTTTAAATCCCTGTGTATTGTGACTAGATTTAAAAGGACATTATTTTTAATCATTCAGAGGATGTGGGCATCACTGGCTGGGCAAGTATATTTTGACCATCCCTAAATGTCCTTGAGAAAGTGACATTGAACTGTCTTCTTGCTGCAGTCCACTTGGTACAGGCACTCTCACAATGCTGTTAGGATGGGAGTTCCAAGATTTTGACCCAGCAATGCTGAGGGAATAGTAGTACATTTCCAAGTCAGGATGGTGTATCTCTTGGAGGGCAACTTATAGCTGGTAATATTACCAAGAATCTGTTGCCCTTGTCCTTCTAGATGGTAGTAGTCATGAGTTTGGAAGGTATTGTCTCAGGAGTTTTGGTGAATTTCTGTAGTGCATCTTGTAGGTGGTACACACTGCTACTACTCAACGTCTGTAGTTGGGGGTGGATGTTTGTGGAAGTGATACCAATCAAGTGACTGTTTTCTCCTAGATGGTGTCAAGCTTCCTGAGCGTTGTTAGGGGGTCATAAATCCATTTCCTTTTTCCAGGAATATATCAAGTCAGGGTTCTTTTCCTGTGGACTGGAAAATTTCTATCTAGGGAGCTGACTGAATGTTTTCTAAACATAATTCCCAATATTGGCCACATATATTACTTTTATCTGAGTTTTTCTTAGAATAGTTAAACCATCTAAATATGTTATTGTTTTATTATTGTTGTTGGAGCTGTATTTATCCAGGTAAGAGGAAGGGTTCCGTCACACTTATGCCTTGTAAATGGTGGACAGGCTTGTTGAACTCAGGAAGTCAGTTACACACTTCTGAATTCCTAGCTTCTGACCTGGTCTTGTAGCCACATTATTTATATGACTAGTCCAGGTCAGTTTCTGGTCAATGGAAACCTGCAGGATATTGATAGTAAAATATTCAGCAATAGTAATGTAATTGAATGTGAAGAGTAATGGTTAACTTCTATTTTGTTGGAGTTGGTCATCGCCTGACACTTGTGTGGTGTGAATATTACTCCCCTCTTATCAGCCTAAGCTTAGTTATGGTCTAGGTCTTGCTGTATTTGGACAAAGAATGCTTCATTATCTGAAGAATAGCAAATGGTGCTGAACATTGTGCAATCATTGGCGAACATCGATACTTCTCACTTTATGACAGAAGGAAGGTAATAGATGAAACAGCTGAAAATTGCTGGGTATAGGACACTACTTTGAGGATCTCCTCCAGAAATGTTCTGGAGCTGAGATGAGTGGCCTCCAATGACTACAACCATCTTCTTTTGTGCTACTCATGACTCCAATTCACCAAGTCAAATATAAAATGTTATAATTTCAATACACTGACATGCACAGAATGTTTTATTTTAGAAAAACTAGTTAAAACATAGAATCCAGGTTTGAAGATGCTTTTCTGTATGAAGATGCATTTCCCCAAACTTGATTAAATCAATTGTGTAAGAACAAAAATAATTTGCAAATGTTGGAAATCAAACTAAAAGAACTAATTAAAAAATACACCTCACACTAGCCACAGAAACTCTCTCTATAGTAACCTGCAAGGCAGTTTCCTTTTTTTAGAAGCTTACAATTTCTTTTAGTTCTTTTTACAGATGCAGAGTATGTTCAGCATTTAAAAATTCCATATTTGACAGTGTAGCTGCTAGTTATCAGGTTATTTGCTCAGTTTGAGTTCAGAAGGCTTTGTATGTCAAAATATTATCCATAATTAATTTACACACCATATGATTGAGAGACAAACTAAAATGTCAGAACCATAATTGCACAGTGATGTGACAGTCTGATGAGTTCAGTAAAAAGTTAATATATTAATATAAAGGTAGTGTTAATGCCTCTTTGCACAATAATGATCAGAAATCCAAAAATGAGTCAAAGTAAATCTTAAAAGCTGATTTACATATACATCACCATAGGCCTCCTTTGTGGATCCATGAATTACATTTATACACTTTTGTCATTCAGAAGCAATGAATATCAGGGACCAGATTTTCCTGTCCCAATTGTTACGACGGGGAATGGCCAAACCATTCTGATAATTAAACTAAAACAGAAGCCCCGATCTATTATGACAGGAGTCGGGGTTCCACTCTAATAATTACCCCCGAAACTCCCAGTGAAGCTCGTCTTTCCCTTCATAATTTATTTTAAAAAGCAGTTAAAAGAATGAAAATCACTGATCTCCACTTTACAAGTATCAAGAAACAATTTATTTATTTAACCCAACAATGAACAACAGACTACTAACTACTCCCTATCTGGTCTAAATTCTACTGGAATGCTGTTTAAATAAAGACAAGTCCCATTAATATAAACCGAGTTAATAAGAAGCAATAAATTATAACATTTTTCCAAGTTCACATAGACTGTCTTCTGGAATATTTTGTTATCTCTGCTCTCTTCACAAATGCCTTTCTTCTGTTAATTCTGCTGTCAGGGATGTTTTATCTCTCTAATTTCTTCAAGAGGACTTTGAGCTAAATACTTTGAGCTATTTAATTAGATGGGCTTTCTCTGAGAGCTGAATGGTGCTAAGTCTGGCAGGTGGTGGATGACTCTCTCTTTAAGATGGCAGTTGGCTCTCCCCGATTTTCCAAATGCCCTCGTCTTATATACCCATAATGACATAATCAAATTCTTATAATATGATTAGTTTCAGGTTGTCAAAATTCTGGTGTTTTGTCTGCCGCCTGTAAGGCTTCTTTGATAATACAGTGTGGAACTGGAGGAACACAGCAGGCCAGGCAGCATCAGAGAAGCAGTAAAGTTGATGTTTTTCTGAAATTTTCTGAAGAAGGGTCCCGACCTGAAACTTCAACTTTCCTGCTCCTCTGAAGCTGCCTGGCCTCCACTGTATTGTCTCTGACTCCAGCATCTGCAGTTCTTGCTATCTCTGAGGCTTTTTTGATACACTTGTTTCACTTTTTGAGGCTCTCTGTACTGGCAACTTCAACTGCTGCTCACAGACATACATTTTTTCTTAATTTTCTAAGTACAGACAAAGTGCAAATCTCTTAAAGGAACCACACGTTTTAGCTTTCTGCCTTCCACTTCACAATTACTCTACCCAACTTTGTAACACAATTAAGAAATTTTGATTTTCCTGAGGATGGTGGGATGGGTAAGAGCAAGGGGGTGTGTTAGCAAATTGAAGTCACCTTCTACCTGCATCAATTGGATAGCGTGAAGTCATCAGGAAAGCTCATTAAGAGTTCATCAACTGACCTCATGGGGTAATCATAGGGGCAAGTAGCTGTAAGGAGCTCTCTAAAGTTAACCAGCTGCAACCTGACAGCAACAGGGGTTGCTGCGCTGAAACGGTTTTAGTTAAAGCAAAAACATGAGCATTTAGACAAAAACTTACCAAACGGCAATAAAATGTCTTATCCAGCCTTTCCCTAACCCAACCCATGTTTCAGCTCTCTATTTGTCCTGATCAATTTGAAAATTAGGATCCTCTCGCCACGCACAGATGACACCCACATCTGGGCCAGAATGTGGTCACCTCCCTGCTGTTCTGCAGCCACTTTAATCACCACCACCACACTTCAAAATCCCTACCCAACACTAGTCATTCACTGGCAGAAGACCCATATCTGGGACGTTCAGGCTATGCACCTGTGAAAAGCATGCTTCACACCATGTTGGAAACAGAGCTGTGTTCACAACCTGGAATTGAATATGTGACCTGATTTCTGCCTCCAGAGGAAAATCCAATCAACAAATAAATAAATATTCTGCAGTCAATTTAGATTCAGACAAATTAAAATTAGAGTTATAGCATATTATATATTAGGACTATTCAAAAAGATAACCAGAGATCGCTTCTATTAATTCTGTCGGGTTTGTTTCTCACTATGCAGAAATCTTTTCTGAGGGATCATCAGGATCAACTAGACGTGGGCTCATTTCCAGCCTTGGAATTTCAGCTACTGCAACAAATAAATGGTCTGAAATGTTAGTATCTATTTCACCATTAAAGTGAGTGTTATCAGATGGTACATAAAAAACATAATTAATTTTATTTTCATAAATGCATTTCATTTTGAAATTCAAATTTAGATCGAAGAACTAACAAAATGTTTTGAATTCTGATAGGTCAATTGTATTTCTTTATCACATTTCAAACTTTATTTTCCTTCATAAGCAAACTTTTCTCCCATACTGTAGTAAGTCTTATGATTGGAATTTTATTTCTTGTAGGTATGACACCATTGAGTATCCACCAATATCGAATGGCTCCAGGATTTACTATTCACCTACATGTGAAGTAGACAAAATAGAATCACCAGTTTTACCCAATCAATTTTATAGTACCAGGTCATTATTGCGAGGTAACATTGGTAAAAGCAACAATAATGCACAGGTGAGCACCTAACTGAACTGGAATGAAAGATGAGATACGGAAGTGCCTTGTAATTAATTATTTTCACCTACTCATCATCTGAGATATAAAATTAACAATTGATCTAGCATCCACTGCCAAAGAGGAGCAGGAAGACTGCAATAATCAGCAGCATGTATTCATGAAAAGTCTAAGGCAATAGGACATTTAACTGAAGAATGAGATATGTTCGAAGGATTAACTCTGTGGCACTAACTGGAAGAATATCTTCAGTTGGGAGAAAGGCTGGGTATAGATGGTTAATAAAATCAACAGGGTTTAAAATAATTTAAATGATTAGAATCCAAATTATTAACTTTGTAATTAGCAATGAAATATTGCCAATAAATAATAATTCACTTTACTTAATCTCTTAGGCAAATATTGTAGGGGCTCAGGTCAGTGCTGTAGACACATGGGTTTAAATCTCATCAGAGCGAATGATGAAATTTAAATTCAATTAGTAAATCTGGAATGTAAAGCTGGTCTCAGTGTTGCTTACCATGACAGCAATTGTTTTAAAAATCCATCTTGTTCACTAATTCCCTTTTAAGAAAGAAAATCTACTACCCCCTACCTGGTCTGGCGCACATGTGACTCCAGACCCACAGCGATGTGGTTTACTCTTAGGCAGTGTTTGCTGACACCAGCAACTGTAGACAACTATGCATGTATGGATCCAAGCACCAATGTCATCACATACATTTTATATGACAAGGAGAGCCAGGACCCAGGATGGGGTGTCGCAAGGATGACCCAGCAGCCAGGCAGGCCTCTTCCCATCTGTTTCCCTTCTGCATTCCCCTCAGCTGTAGCCCCGACACCAAACTCCACCCCCACCCCAGTTTTCTCCCTGCCTCCCTCTCTCTCTTCCTGAGTCTTTCCAGTCTCTCCCACAACCCCGTCCTGATCTCTTGCCTGCACCCTCCCAATCTTCTCCCCCACCAATCTCTTCCCTCCCTTCCCCTACTCAGGCTTAGGTTCCCCCTGTCCCCACCTGTCCATTCCTACCCACCACCAAAAACACCCTGAAATCTGGTGCATGCATAATTTAAAGCAGCACATAGCAAGCATATGTCAGTGTCAGCAAATGCAACCTTGCTCTTAACTGCCCTATGAAAATGGCATAGCAACGCTCAGTTCAAGGGCAATTAGAGATGTGCAACTAATGTGGCCTTGCCAGCGATGGCCATAATCCATGAAAGAATGAAAATGCTTCAAAAATCCAACTCAAAGTAATGATATATTTGCCTACACCAAATCAATTAGGATGGTCAAACATGGTCCTACACTAAAGCAATCAGAAAGCTTTAGCATAAGACAAAGAATCCTATTGGAGATACGAACAAAAAGAAATACGCGGTTACCTAGTATACAAACATTTCCAGGTGTTCCATCAACTATGTTTTGGTGTCTGCACTGAGGAGACATATTGCTTTTACTCATAAACAATGTGCCTCTTGATGCCTTTCCACCTCATTCAGACTTTTATTGCTCTAACAATAATACCCTCTTCAAAAATACATCACCACATTCTTACCTATATAGAAATTCATTTTCCAATTATATACCTATTGCGTGATCATATTAATTGTCCAAATTTTGCTGTAATAATAACAGCAAGACCATCATTGTTCACTGTTATTACAGTAGTGGCAACATTTACAGTTAAATAAAGAAATCCAGAGGGAAAGTTAGAGATCTCTTACTCTTCCACAAGGAATGGTGTTGCAGTCCATGCACATAGACTTGGCGTTGAAATCACTGTAATGACATGAAATCTGGGTACTTGCCCACTAGTTCTGCACTAAACACAGCTGGAACGAATGGATGAGTGCATAACATAATCACTGCTGAACAACTGCCCTAAAAAAAAAGTTTACAAATAGCAGACTGGATGTTGTTGATTGCCAGCAAGTCCCATGCAGGGATCAAGAGTGGAAGATGACCCCTTTTAAGCAGTGAGATAATGCAGGTCACAGCCAACTAAAAGACCTTCATTGGAACCACCATACCATTAAGAATGGAAGCCTGCCCTCAAGACTTGCTTGCACAGTCACGGGTTTGCATCTCAGTAGCCTCAGCTATGCTAATTTGTGCAGCTCTCAACGCTGAGGCTTAAGTTCCGGGGGGAGGATGCCACGATGGTCAGACCTTCTTGATGCGCACTAATGTAGATTAAGGAGAATGGGTAAGAAAGGCTAGGCCATTGGTGTGGTAAAGGTATTGCAATTACTGATAATGCCATTGTTGCAAGGTAGTCATTGGCATCAGAAAAGGATTTAAGTGAAGAACTAACCACGTACTTTCATTCTCTGAAACAGCTCTTATATACCAAATATAATGCTTCATTTTTGTCATTCATCGCATGGGATTCAGGGAGAGCTAGCCAATTGGGTACAAAATTGGCTTCATAGTAGGAGACAGAGGGTTAATGTTTAATTTCACATTGGAGACCTGCAACCAACAGTTTTCCGCAAGGATTGGTGCCGGGTCCACTTTTGTTTGTCATTTATATAAACAATTTGGATGAGAATACAGGAGACATAGTTAGTAACTTTGCAAATGACATCAAAATTAGTGGTATAGTAGACAGTGAAGAAGATTATCTAAGAGTACAATAGGATCTTGATCAACTGGACCAATAGGTTGAGGAGTGGCAGCTGGAGTTTAATTTAGATAGATGCAAGGTGTTGCGTTTTGGTAAGACAGAGAGACCTACGGGTTCGGATACATAGTGCCCTGAAAGTGGCATCACAGGTAGACAAGATAGTGAAGAAGGCATTTGGCATACTTGCTTTCATTGGTCAGAGCACTGAGTACAGGACTTGGGACGTTATGTTACAGCTGTACAAGATGTCGGTAAGGCCACATTTGGAGTACCGATTAGAGTTCTGGTTGCCTTGCTATAGGAAGGATATTATTAAACTGGAAGGGGCGCAGGAAAGATTTACAAGACTGAAAGGTTTGAGTTATGAGGAAAGGGTGGATAGGCTGAGACTTTTTCCACTGGAATGTAGGAGGTGAGGCATGACCTTTGTTATGGTTTATAAAATTGTGAGAGGCATAAATAAGGTGAATAGCCAAAGTCTTTTCCCTAGGTTAGTGGAGTCCAAAACTAAAGGGCATAGGTTTAAGGTGACAGGGGAAAAGTTTTAAAACTGACTTGAGGGGCAAATTTTTCTCACAGAGGGTGGTGTATATATGCAATGAACTGCCACAGGAAATGGTAGAGGTAGGTACAATTACAACACTCAAAAAAGACATTTGGACAGGTACATGAATAGGAAATGTTTAGAAGGATATGGGCCAGATGAAGGAAATATATCAGTTTAGGAAACCTGGTCAGTATGACTCTGACTCCAGTGCTGCTCTTGCAAAGGGAGATTTTGAATAACTTCTAAAAAATCATGACGTCAAAGCAGTCCTAAAAGGGATTATATTTTTACCAATTGATTTTGTTTGTTTGAAGAATGAGATAGACTCTAACTAGAGAAATTCAAACTTGTCCTGCACATTAAGAAAATTGTTAAAATATTTTTAAATACAGTAATTAATTTTCAAAAGTAGAAATTACATACTGAGCATTGATTTGTAAAGTGTACCTAAATTTAGAAATATGATTATTTCAAACCATTCATTTGTACTTCCTATTTCTAAACCGGGAATGTTTTCTAAAAGCAGATTTTACATTTAAACACAACATTGGACAGAGCAATCGAGGCTGCGAACAGCATGAAGAAAACCACCAGGAGGATGATTAAGATCTTGTCTGCTGACTTGGCCAAAGCTGAGTACTATAAGTATTTGTATGATTTCTAATATTTTTCTGATACTGTAAATTAATCCAATTTAATGGGTGGTGTAATATTAAATATAATGTGTAAAGTGGAATATGAATTCAGTACTTTTTTCTCAAACAGTGCATTGATTTGTAATATTAAGAGCTAGAGTTAGATAGTTATTGCAGATTTTGGGCCCTAGCTCTAAACTCCTTATGTCTAGGACTTCATTGATCACTAGTAATTGGAAGTGATCATCAGATGAGATGTGAGGCACCACCTGCTTCACCAAGATGTTCAGTGACAAAGTTGTATTTGTGTCATTTACTCACTGACTTTTGATGTTCAGGTGACTCTTTATAATTTTTCAAGATTGGTTCAAGCAGATATTCAAGCAGACTACCAATTTGTGCCCTGGTTTGTGACATAACGTATATGTGCAAAGTACCCATTCATACAGAAAAAAATTGATTTTATTAGAAATACACAAATTTTGTCTCACCTATCATTAAAAAACACCAGCATTATAGCCAGTAAAGATGAAGACAACTCCAGCTATCACCGCTACCTTCCTTAGTTTGTAAAAAGCTCACCAATGATCTCTTCAACTCATGCTTCATCTCTCAACTGCTTTCCTCTCAAGGATTATCAAATATACAATTACCACATGACTCTCTGCCTCCCACTTTTAGCACATTTGTCCAAATAATTTGGTGGTGTTCAGATTTCTACCCATTCCATAGCTCAAAAGAGCAGTCGTGATTAATGATCCTGAGTAATTGTAATTAGAGAGTATATCTCTTCTTGCCATCCTCAACCTCTCTGCTTCACTCAGTCGATATGTATCTTTTTCCATCCTCGTTTTTCAGTGTATTACTATTGTAGCCACTTTAGTCCTTGCATCTCCTTCAATGGCTCCTCACATAGACACTTTGGGAGTGCAATTAAGATCAGTCTTCAGTGTTTTCTTATTCCTAATCTGTATCACTATCATCTACAATTCCATGATCACGAGGTTTGAAGAACTACAGTGTGAGGAACTTGTTTAATATTTAAAATAGCAAGAAGCCTTTTCAGACTCTTAGTTCCAAAATACTATTACGTGTAATAAATTTTATATAAAGAAATCAAACAAGATTATTTTAATATAGTATCTGAGATGTAAAAAATTAAAAGAATTTCAGGAAGAAGAAAATCATGCAAGGTTGTGTTAAAAGCTGCACTGAGATTCCTCACTTTATTCTATACTACAGTCCACATCCAGTGATTCTGTACACAGGCTAGAAGCACTGTTATAATCTCACTTGTGAATATAGTATATCTCCTTTGCATAAATATATCACTTGTTAAGTCTATTTGAAACAGCGATTACTTTGGCATGTTTATGTGTTCGCATGTTAATTCATGGAGATTACTATTTATTGTTTTTGGAGATTTCAAATTCATTTTGGAATAAACAACTTTACTTATAAACAGAATCTCATCCCTGATTCTTTTCTTCTTACCATATTGGTGATAACAGGTCATAAAACACAACCAAAAATAAGTAAGTACAATTAAAAGGGAGAGAACAGTTGAGGTTTGAATGGCTACCTTTGACATTTAACAAAGTGTGGTATTGAGGATTCCTACCTAGTGAAAGTTAAGTCTTTGGGAATCAAGGGAAAAATCTTTACTAGTTGGAATCAACCCTGGTATAAAGGAAAGTGGTTTTGGAGGCCAATTACTTCTACTGCAGGAAATCACTGCAGTAATATCCTAGGCCCAACCATCTTCAGCAATAGCTTTTCCTCCATCAGGAGGTCAGAACTGGGGATGCTTGCTGATGATTACATAGTGTTCAGTATCATTTACTCCTCAAATATTGAACCAATTCATTTCCATATGAACAAGACCTGGACAGCATTCAGATTTGGACTGAAAAATGACAAGTAACATCCATTCCATATAAATGCCAGGTAATGACCATCTCCAATAAGAGAGAATGTAAACAATTCCTTCTGCCACTCAATGGCTTTACCAACATTGAAATCCCCACTATCAACATTCTCAGGGTTACCACTGACCAGAAACTTAATTTAGCGAGCTTATAACTACTGTGGTCACAAAAGCAGATCAGAGGCTGGGAATTTCTGTCGCAAGTAACCTATTTTGTGACTCTCCAAAGCCTGTCCACTATATACAACACATGTCAGGAGGGTGATTTCATATCCTTCACTTACCTAAATAAGAATAGCTCCAACACTCAAGAAGCTTTACACTCTCTAGGACATAGCAGCCAGTTTGTGTCATTTGCAAGATGCACTTAACAATTCACCAAGTCTCCTTCAACAGCCAACCAAACCCACAGTGTCTACCACCTAGAAGGAAAAGTTCAGCAGATGCATGGAAGTACTTGTACCTGCACATTCCCCTCCAAGCCACTTATCATCTTGAATGGGAACTATATTGCCTTTACTTCATCTTCATTGTATTAAAAGCCCAGAAGTCCCCTTCCTGAAAGCACTACACGTGTACCTATACAAGATGGACAGCAATGCCTAAACAGATGGCTCATCACCACCTTCTGAAGGGCAATAAGAAACAAGCAACAAATGTTTGCCTTCCATTGATGGTCAGATCCCATGAAAGAATTAGCAAAAGTAATGTTGGTAATGATCTTTTAATTCAGTACCAAAAGCATTTGAATAATCTGCTCTGGAGTAAAGCCACCCATCCTAAGCAGTATTGTTAATATTTGGGAACGTGGATTTAAATTTAGAGGAAAAAAATAAACTTTAGTTTCCAGTTCTGTGAATGTGACTTGTTTTAAAATAAAGATCAAGAAGTCATTTTGAGCAGTGAACTGAAGGTGGCTTTTCTAAGAAAGTATGTGACTTAAACGACTCAAACAGTTACCTGGAGAGTTAATTACTAAATATTTACAACGTTGAGCTTTTATGGTACAGATTGTCAGGGTCCACTTGTCGGTTGCATTTGGAAGAAAAGTCATCCCAGCAGAAGTCTCCATAAATGACTGTTTTCTACTTAGTGGAAGGCTGTATCGTCCCTAAATTTGCAGACCGGCATAACTGAGGATGACTATTAGACTGTTTGCAGCAACCTGATTACTTTTCATTTAGCATTGATCACTATCCAAAATGTCCTTAAAATTATGGGTAACGCACCTAAACCAGTGGTGTACTGATTGAAGGAAATAATACATTGATTTGCAATTAGAAATCCAAGGTGTGAAGATTTGACAAAAAACAGACTAGAAGCTGGACACCAGGTCAATTGATTTTCATAATAAAATGTCTGGATGAAAAACATTTGCTTTAGTTTTGATTGATAAAATCTGGCATGCCCATTTTCTGGGGGACGTCAGTTCAGACATAGAATGCTTTACTACTAATAGTGGTGGAGGCAACCTTTTAAAAAGAAAATCTGGTTTACTTTAGGGAAGGAAAACTGCCATCTTTACCCATGTGAGTCCAGATCCCACAGCAATGTTCTTGACTCTTAACCGCCCCCTGGGCAATTAGGAGTCAACAATAAATGCTAGCCGAGCAAGTCACACCAACATCCCAAGAATGAATAAGAAAAATATTTTAAAGGGAAAGACGATAAATCATGCATTTAAAGTTAAGTTTAAAAGCGTATGGGGTAGAGGTAGAATAATTGACCTAAATATGTCAACCATGGCTCTGTTGGTAGCAATCAAACCTGACTCACAAGGTTCTGGTTTTGAGACCAATTCCAGAGCATGAGCACAAAAAGCTTGGCTGAGAGTGCATTACACTGTACGAGGTGTCATCTTTTTGAAAAGACATTAAACAAGAAAGAGATGTGGAGTTATTTCTGTACAAATCTTTGAAAGTGGCAGTAGGCAGGTTACTAAATAATACATAATACTCAGCTTTATAAACACTCTGGATGGCACAAAGTACAAAATCAAGAGTTATTCTAAACCTGAAATACTAGTTCAATGCCAACTGGATATTGTGTCCAATTCTAGCCATCACAGTTTTGGAAGTTATGAAGCCTGGAGAAATACAGAAGAAATTCACTAGAATTAAGGGATTACACTTATATTGTTTCACTGAGGTTCTCCTTAGAGAAGGTTCAGAGGAGATTTGAACAGAATATTTGAATCATGAAACTGTTCCCAATAGCTGAAGCATTGACAACCAGAATGCACATATGTAACGTGATTGCCTAAGAAGTACAGTCAACACGTGGTTAGGATTTGAAAGGTATATTTTAATTGGGTAGTGAACAAAGAGTCAATAGCAGCCTTTAAACTTTGGATAAATGCTTACAGGATTGCAGAGACATGGGAATAATCAGGGCAGTGAGTCAAACTGTATTGCTCTTCAAAATATACCAAATAGCTTCCTTTCATGTTGAACATTTCAATGATTCTATGAAATCAGACATTGAAAAAAAATTATACTTGAATGGTGAAGACTTGAAAAACATGGGTAGACATTTAAAGCTCAAAATATGGCTTTACCCACTCATATTTGAAAAATTAGCACTGCAGTTACAAATGCTCAACAGTGGATGGTGCAACAATTCTTCTCAGCATCTCTAAAGTATCAGACATTTAATAAATCCTACTAAAAGGATCTTTTCTGGTTTTTTGGCCAAATATGCATGTAGTAAACCCCAAATATAAAAGTGGGCTTATAGATAAACCTAATCCTATGTAGTAAACCCCAAATGTAAGAGTGGGCTAATAGAATAACCTAAGCCCAAACATAAGTGTGAGTTAATAGATAAACCAGGAGAAAAGCTGTATTATTTTTATAAAGCTGCAGAAAGTGCAAGAATCATTACTAAATATTTCAAAAATACCCTTAACTAAAATAAACCTATTATTTAAACAAGAACAATATCGAAATTCAGACTTATTAAATTACAGATCATCTTATCCCACCCAAAGAGCCTTCAGGAACCTTTGAAACTAAATCTTCTTAACTTCCAACAATAGTTTGTAGTAGATGAATAATAGTACCTGTAATTACATTACATTTAAGTACTTCCTTCAATTAAATTAACACAATATTTTTGAGTTATTGTATCTCACAATACTTCTCAGATTACTGTTCATTTTAAGATGTCTATCATTAAATGAATACATTTATTCAGAAACTAATATTCTATTGATAATGTTTTGTATACTGACCAAGCCTGTCCACTCAATGGATTTTGAAACAACTAGGTCAGCTGTAAAGTCCCCCTGTTATTGCTCCTGAACTCTGATATTTCATGCCCCAGCCAACAAGATGCATGGAACATTTAATTATACAACAGAAATATTCAAAAAGAGAAGAATTTTACACAGTGTCATCATACACTGTGTATTACATACTGGATTACAATAAGATAATAGACTGTAGCCATGTCATGGTTTCACAAGAAATACAAGCACCCAGTTTTCTTAGAGATTCTGTTTCAAGCGTAAATGTGTGGTTAATCTAAATATGCTATTACAACATTTCAGTGTATTATACATTGTTAATTTTACAGAATAATGAATCAGGTCACTGAGGTAAACCGACACTGTCCTTCTTGACCAGCCTGCAGCCTTTGACGCGGTTTAACTAAAACATCTTACTCCATGACCTGCCATTGGGACTGCTCTCACCTGGCTCCATTCTTATTTTATCTAACTGTAACCATACCATCACTTTATGAGTTATTTATTGTCACATTTTTCGAAGAAGATACAGTGAAAAGTGTTTTGTTGCCACAATCCGACGCCATTTTGAGTTACAAAAAAAATAAAAAGAAATTACATAAATAGAGTTCATCTAATGTAGAAAGGGTCTTCAAATACAGCTCCAGAGCTTCTGCCAAGTCTCTGGTGGGTGGCTTGGACCTCAAGGAGTCCCTGTGCTTCAGACCTACCACAGCCAGTAGCTGACAACCCGCTAAGGACCGCTGAAACGATGCCCCATCCAGTCAAACCTTTCAGGCCTACTGCAGTCAGGAGTCTCCACACCAGGCACTGCCACTGCTAAGCGCAGATCTGCCGAGTCCCCGAGTCCACACTCCAGGCCTACCATAGCCAGAGGTCCTCACTCCGGGCCTACAGCCAATGACCCGCCTAGCTACACTCTGGCTTCCTAACTGCAATGCTTTCACTTCTTGTTCCACCACTATTACCTGTGGTGTCCTCTCATTTCCCAAC